CCATCACCACCATTATGTAGATATCAGTCTTCTACCACCATCACCACCATTATGTAGATATCAGTCTTCTACCACCATCACCACCATTATGTATATATCAGTCTCTACCACCATCACCACCATTATGTAGATATCATCTTCTACCTGACCTTCATCACCACCATTATGTCGATATCATCTTCAACCACCATCACCACCATTATTTAGATACAGTCTTCTACCACCATCACCAACCAATTAGTCAATATCATCGTCTACCCACCATCACCACCATTATGTAGGATATCAGTCTTCTAACCACCATCACCCACCATTATGAATATATCAGTCTCTACCCACCATCACCACCAATATGCAGATATCAGTCTTCCTACCAACCATCAAGCCACCATTATGATAGAATATCAGTCTTCACTACCACCATCACCACCATTGATGTAGATATCATCTTCTACACCATCACCACCATTATGTAGATATCAGCTTCTAACCACCATCACGCACCATAATGAAGATAACATCTTCTAACCACCATCACCACACATTATGTAGATATCAGTCTTCTACCACCAACACCACCAATTATGTAGATATCAGTCTTCTACCCACCTATTCACCACCATTATGTAGATATCAATCTTCTACCACCATCACCACCATTATGTAGATATCAGTTCTTCTCCCACCATCCACCACCATTATAGATTCCAGTCTCTACCACCATCACCACCATTATGTAGATATCAGTTCGGTCTCCCACCGATCACCCCATTATTAGATATCAGACTTCCTAACCACCAATCACCACCAATATGGAAAAAAATTTTCAAATTTTGGAAAGGGGGGCCCAAAAAAGTTTTGGGGGTTTGGAAAAAATTTTGGGTGCTTTTCCCCCTTTTTAAAAAAATATTAGATTTTTTTAAAAGTCCAATGGGTGGGGTAAAATTTTGGGTTGACAATACGGGCTTTTGGGGAAAAGTCATTTTCCAAAATGAGACTTTACAAGGGTTTTTTAAAGTTAAGAAAAGGGAATGTTTTCTTTTTTTTTTAGTATTTTTTTTTTTTAAGGGAATGAAATGTATATTAAATTTTTTTATATTCCTAAATTTTTTATCTTTTTTGTTATTAGGGTTTTTTTATCCTTTTTTTTGGTTTTATTTTTTTTTTTTTCCCAATTTTTTTTTACCTCTTTTTTTCGTATGTGGGATTAATGGTGAATAAAAAATTTTAAATTTTCCAAAAGGTTTAAAAATTAATAAAAATTTCTCATTGTGTTGTGATTTTAAAATTTATGTTTTTGTCTAAAAGTTTGATGGAAAATAATTTATTTTTTAATGGAAAAATTTATTTTGTTAAAAAAAGTTTAATTAATAGTGTTAATTTTTTGGTTTTGAAAATCTTTTGCTAAAAAAAAAAATTTTTTTTATTTAAATTAGGTTAAATTTTTAATTTAATTTATTTGGATTCTTTACTTATTTAATTATTAATTAATAAAAAAATTTAATATTTATTTACATAAAGGAATGGAACCTAGCCCAAATTTCTGAACTTTATATCCACAGTTCCTTTTTGGAACTAAATAAAAAATAAAAAAAAGGAATTATAGAAGGTAAAAATTTGTATGTTTTAAAAAAAAATATTATTATAAAACATAACCTGGGTTACCGGAGAGGGCCTGGGGCACGCCCGGCCGGCCGGCCCTTGGGGATCAGAGCCTGACAACCAGGCTGTTGGGTGCTGGCTGCCGCAAACCAACGTACGAGCCACAGCCCGGCTGGTCAGGAACTGACTTTAGGTGCTTTTCCAGTGCCAGCTTGAAGACTGCCAGGGTCTGTTGGTAATCCCCTTATATATGCTGGGAGGCAGTTGAACATCTCGGGCCCCTGACACTTATTGTATTGTCGCTTAATGTGCTATGACACCCTGCTTTTCATTGGGGGGATGTTGCATTCGTCCTGCCAGTCTTTTGCTTTCCTAGTGAGTGATTTTCGTGTGCAAGTTCGGTACTAGTCCCTCTAGGATTTTCCAGGTGTATATAATCATTATCTCTCTCGGCCTGCATTCCAGGAATACAGTTTAGGAATCTCAAGCGCTCCCAATAATTGAGGTGTCTTATCTCCGTTATCGCGCCGTGAAATTTTCTCTGTACATTTTCTAGGTCAGCAATTTTCACCTGCCTTGAAAGATGCTGTTAGTGTGCAGCAATATTCCAGCCTAGATAGAACAAGTGACCTGAAGAGTGTCATCATGGGCTTGGCATCCCTATTTTGAAGGTTCTCATTATCCATCCTGTCATTTTTCTAGCAGATCGATTGATACAATGTTATGGTCCTTGAAGGTGAGATCCTCCGACATGATCACTCCCAGGTCTTTGACGTTGGTGTTTCGCTCTATTTTGTGGCCAGAATTTGTTTTGTACTCTGATGAAGATTTAATTTCCTCATGTTTACCATATCTGAGTAATTGAAATTTCTCATCGTTGAACTTCATATTGTTTTCTGCACCCCCACTGAAAGATTTGGTTATGTCCGCCTGGAGCCTTGCAGTGTCTGCAATGGAAGACACTGTCATGCAGATTCGGGTGTCATCTGCAAAGGAAGACACGGTGCTGTGGCTGACATCCTTGTCTATGTCGGATATGAGGATGAGGAACAAGATGGGAGCGAGTACTGTGCCTTGTGGAACAGAGCTTTTCACCGTAGCTGCCTCGGACTTTACTCTGTTGACGACTACTCTCTGTGTTCTGTTAGTGAGGAAATTATAAATCCATCGACCGACTTTTCCTGTTATTCCTTTAGCACGCATTTTGTGCGCTATTACGCCATGGTCACACTTGTCGAAGGCTTTTGCAAAGTCTGTATATATTACATCTGCATTCTTTTTGTCTTCTAGTGCATTTAGGACCTTGTCGTAGTGATCCAATAGTTGAGACAGACAGGAGCGACCTGTTCTAAACCCATGTTGCCCTGGGTTGTGTAACACAGGGAGAATATCTTAAAATCATAACACTCACCAATTTGACTGGAGATTAATGTGTCATGTACAGGACCCCCCCCCCTTTTGCCTACATTTATGAAAAATTTACTGGCCAGAATTTAAACATAAATTAGACAGCTTATCTGAGGTTCCTGGAGTTGTCCTGTCCTGTCGACTGATACTCAAGTTATGCAGGAATGCACATCCAACAATTTCGTCTCCTATTTGAGAGGTGTCAGCCCAATTTTAACCTCTAGAGCACGAAAAATTTAACCTCTAGAGCACGAAAAATTAACCTCTAGAGCACGAAAAATTAACCTCTAGAGCACGAAAAATGTGTGTGTATACACACACACACACGGGGGGGGGAGCTGAATGATTGATAACTCTAGGCCTTTCGTATTGCAATCAACACATCAGCAGGAGCTTGCAATGTTACAGAAATGAGCAGGAAGTTCAGGAAAATCCGTTCAAGGAACAACTCTAGTTTGAACGAATGCTCCTGGACTTGAACTCATTTCTGCAACATTGCAAGCTCCTGATGATGTGATTTCAACACGAAAGGCCTAGAGCTATCATTCAACCTCCCCCCCCCCGATGTTTGCTTTACATCTTGTATCTCTTGTTCGCGATTATTGCATTATACATTATACATTATACATTGCACACAAGCTGTTGTTTCCTCTCAAAATTTATACTACTGTCATTCTCTGCTGTGTTGTTTAAAATGTTGGGGGAGAAGTGGATATTAAATGTCCTGGATATTAAATGTGGATATTAAATGTCCTGGCCTCACCTCTGTCATTATCCATTGTCGTCTGACACCATTCTGTGGTTATTGCTCACCAGCGCAAGCTTCTCAGACCCTTCTGAAAATTGTGAGTGGAGGGCCGTCTACCTCTCCTAGGATGAGTCGTAGCTTATGTTTACGATGGCGGTGGTGAGGGGGGAGGGTGTCCTCATTAACACCATTCAGTCCCCCAGTACACAGCTGGTGTCCTCATTAACACCATTCAGTCCCCCAGTACACAGCTGGTGTCCTCATTAACACCATTCAGTCCCTCAGTACACAGCTGGTGTCCTCATTAACACCATTCAGTCCCTCAGTACACAGCTGGTGTCCTCATTAACACCATTCAGTCCCTCAGTACACAGCTGGGGTCCTCATTAACACCATTCAGTCCTTCAGTACACAGCTGGTGTCCTCATTAACACCATTCAGTCCCCCAGTACACAGCTGGTGTCCTCATTAACACCATTCAGTCCCCCAGTACACAGCTGGGGTCCTCATTAACACCATTCAGTCCCCCAGTACACAGCTGGGGTCCTCATTAACACCACTCAGTCCCCCAGTACACAGCTGGGGTCCTCATTAACACCACTCAGTCCCCCAGTACACAGCTGGTGTCCTCATTAACACCACTCAGTCCCCCAGTACACAGCTGGGGTCCTCATTACCACTCAGTCCCCCAGTACATGGTGGCTAAAGCTCTCGCTTCACACGGCGAGGGTCTGGGTTTGATTCCCAGCCAGGGTAGAAACATTGGACGTGTTTCTTTCCACCTGTTGTCTATGTTCCCCATCAGTAAAATGGGTACCTGGGTGTTAGTCGACTGGTGTGGGTCGCATCCTGGGACACTGACCTAATTTGCCCGAAATGCGGAGCACAACAAGGAACTTTCTATATAATAGTATGTCATTGTTGTCAACTAGGACTGTATACCTTGTACATGTACTTGTAGTAAATAAAGATATTATTATTAATCTCAGTACTGGTAACTACAACGTCTAGTTATCACAGTAACAACCAGTAATCTCAGTACTGGTAACTACAACGTCTAGTTATCACGGTAACAACCAGTAATCTCAATACTGGTAACTACGATATAAGGTTGACAAATTTGCATGTACTCAACTTAAACCTATACTGCATGTTATTTCATACCTGATTAATCTCTCTTTAAAGTTTCAAGCTGATCAGAAGAGACATTTAGAAGTTACGTAACGGATAATAATACCCCCCATTCTTTTTTAAGTATAATTAGTAAACTGGCAACTACACATTTCAGTAACAGTCCAACTGAAAGTTAGAGCCATATTAAACAAATATATAATTCATTTAAGCTCTTCTTAACATTCATAGTCAAGGGAATGAGATATATGAACAATCTTGCCACTGGTAGAGAAGACTCGTGCCAGGCGAGTGGACCAGTTCCCTGGCATCTCGTATACAGCAGCTCCCAGGTTCCTGGCCATGCCTACTGCTGAGGTAACCTCGTCGAAGTCATCGGTTATCACCTGGAATACTTCACCTTCCTCAGGGGCTTCAGGCAGACGCGCTGTGATAGAGTCCATCGACACGCGGCCTACAATTGGGCACAGCTCTCCTGAAGCAGGAAGTTGTGAATAACGAGAATAGTTACAGTGTTTCAGTAACTAGTTTCTGTAATTGTTCCAAGATATCCAGAGCATCCATAACCCAAGATATGTGTATTTGTTGACACAAAAGTGACAGCTGCATAACTCTCGAAAGAAAACATGCAGCTCAATTTTCACAACATTCTTATTCAATTCAATTCAAGTTTATTCTCTATAAGGGTTACAATGTGGGGTTTACAGGTTTTGGGTATTGTGTGGTTTACATGTTATAAAATACTAATTACAGAGGGAGCCACTATGAGATATATTATTGATAATGAAGAATTAGACACCTGTGTAACATCTGGGTATCTATTGTAGATACACAAATAACCCGCACATAAAAGAGAGAAGCTTACAACGACGTTTCGGTCCGACTTGGACCATTGACAAAGTCACACTGTTATTTGAGTATCGTTCCAGTCACGGTATTGTGCCTTTTTGTTATCTATTGTAGACGTTTCGCCATCCAGTGGCTTTATCAACACAAATTCAAGAACACATTGGGAAGACTGTAGAAGTATATAGAAAAGACAAGATAATGAGTCCCTCAGCCTTGGAGCTGGTGAAGAACACCGTAGTAGTGAAGACTGTGAAGCAGACATCTCCACAAGCTTCTTGTGTACTACTGGTCCAACCCTCGGGTGTGACATAATTCCACTGGGTAATCCTACTGGTCCAACCCCCGGGTGTGACCTAATTCCACTGGGTAATCCTACTGGTCCAACCCCCGGGTGTGACCTAATTCCACTGGGTAATCCTACTGGTCCAACCCTCGGGTGTGACCTAATTCCACTGGGTAATCCTACTGGTCTAACCCTCGGGTGTGACCTAATTCACTGGGTAATCCTAACTGGTCCAACCCTCGGGTGTGACCTAATTCCACTGGGTAATCCTACTGGCCCAAAACCCTCGGGTGTGACCTAATTCCACTGGGTAATCCTACTGGTCCAACCCCCGGGTGTGACCTAATTCCACTGGGTAATCCTACTGGTCCAACCCCCGGGTGTGACCTAATTCCACTGGGTAATCCAACTGGTCCAACCCTCGGGTGTGACCTAATTCCACTGGGTAATCCTACTAGTCCAACCCTCGGGTGTGACCTGATTCCACTGGGTAATCCTACTGGTCCAACCCCCGGGTGTGACCTAATTCCACTGGGTACTCCTACCTACCAGTGACTGTCTTCGTCTGCTACACCTCCATCACCTGACGCCAGTATATAAGCACCAATCTTCCTGCCTGTGCTCCACATTCTCCACGACTACGGTACACTGTCTGTGTCACGTATTAACACATTAAAAAAACACTAAACACTATCTTTAAAAAAAAATAATGTATATGCTATTTTAGGCTTGGCGAAATATAAAACTGAAATGAAATCCCATAAGCCATAATATTTACGTGTTCTTCCTTACTGGACAATACCTCAGCTAATAGGCTTCAAACTTTCAAGGTTGGTGTTAGAGAAACGGTTGAATTCTTATCGGACTGCCAGTTTCCCTGTTTTGGACGGGCATGTGGGGGCAGTGACCACCAGTGGGTAACTCAAGAATGCCTCATCTGATCGACTTCAAACTTTTAATACTAGTGTACCGTGGCCTAGTAGGCAACGCTCTCGCCTCACACACCGAGTGTCCGTGGCTCGATCCCCGGCACTGGTGGAAACATTCGGCGTGTTTCCTGACACCTGCTGTCCCTGTTCACCTAGCAGTGAGTAGGTACCTGGGTGTTAGTGGACTGGTGTGGGTGGCATCCTGAGGGGACAAGATTGAAGGACCACACTCGAAACAATAGAAAGTCCTGGATGACTCGCTGACTTTCTAGGATTATCCTGGGTGGCTAACCCTCCCCGGGGTTATCCTGGGTGGCTAACCCTCCCCGGGGTTATCCTGGGTGGCTAACCCTTCCCCTGGGTTTTCCTACTAGACATGTCTGGCGGTGATGGTAGACATGCCTGGTGGTGATAGTAGACATGTCTGGTGGTTATGGTAGACATGTCTGGTGGTGATGGTAGACATGTCTAGTGGTGGTGATGGAAGACATGTCTGGTGGTGGTGATGGTAGACATGTCTGGTGGTGATGGTAGACATGTCTGGTGGTGGTGATGGTAGACATGTCTGGTGGTGGTGATGGCAGACATGTCTGGTGGTGGTGATGGTAGACATGTCTTGTGGTGGTGATGGTAGACATGTCTGGTGGTGGTGATGGTAGACATGTCTGGTGGTGGTGATGGTAGACATGTCTGGTGGTGGTGATGGTAGACATGTCTGGTGGTGATGGTAGACATGTCTGGTGATGGTGATGGTAGACATGTCTGGTGGTGGTGATGGTAGACATGTCGGGTTTGGTGGTGATGGTCGACATGTCTGGTGGTGGTGATGGTCGACATGTCTGGTGGTGGTGATGGTCGACATGTCTGGTGGTGGTGATGGTCGACATGTCTGGTGGTGGTGATGGTCGACATGTCTGGTGGTGGTGATGGTAGATATGTCTGGTGGTGATGGTAGACATGTCTGGTGATGGTAGACATGTCTGGTGGTGGTGATGGTACACATGTCTGGTGGTGGTGATGGTAGACATGTCTGGTGGTGGTGATGGTAGACATGTCTGGTGGTGGTGATGGTCGACATGTCTGGTGGTGGTGATGGTAGACATGTCTGGTGGTGGTGATGGTAGACATGTCTGGTGGTGGTGATGGTAGACATGTCTGGTGGTGGTGATGGTAGACATATCTGGTGGTGGTGATGGTAGACATGTCTGGTGGTGGTGATGGTAGACATGTCTGGTGGTGGTGATGGTAGACATGTCTGGTGGTGATGGTAGACATGTCTGGTGGTGGTGATGGTACACATGTCTGGTGGTGGTGATGGTAGACATGTCTGGTGGTGATGGTAGACATGTCTGGTGATGGTAGACATGTCTGGTGGTGGTGATGGTAGACATGTCTGGTGGTGATGGTAGACATGTCTGGTGGTAGTGATGGTAGACATGTCTGGTGGTGGTGATGGTAGACATGTCTGGTGGTGGTGATGGTAGACATGTTTGGTGGTGGTGATGGTAGACATATCTGGTGGTGGTGATGGTAGACATGTCTGGTGGTGGTGATGGTAGACATGTCTGGTGGTGGTGATGGTAGACATGTCTGGTGGTGGTGATGGTAGACATGTCTGGTGGTGGTGATGGTAGACATGTCTGGTGGTGGTGATGGTAGACATGTCTGGTGGTGGTGGTGATGGTAGACATGTTTGGTGGTGGTGATGGTAGACATATCTGGTGGTGGTGATGGTAGACATGTCTGGTGGTGGTGATGGTAGACATGTCTGGTGGTGGTGATGGTAGACATGTCGGGTGGTGGTGATGGTAGACATGTCTGGTGGTGGTGATGGTAGACATGTCTGGGGTGGGGATGGTAGACATGTCTGGTGGTGGTGGTGGTTTGGTAGACATGTCTGGTTGGTGGTGGTGTTTGGTAGACATGTCTGGTGGTGGTGGTGATGGTAGACATGTTTGGTGGTGGTGATGGTAGACATATCTGGTGGTGGTGATGGTAGACATGTCTGGTGGTGGTGATGGTAGACATGTCTGGTGGTGGTGATGGTAGACATGTCTGGTGGTGGTGATGGTAGACATGTCTGGTGGTGGTGATGGTAGACATGTCTGGTGGTGGTGATGGTAGACATGTTTGGTGGTGGTGATGGTAGACATGTCTGGTGGTGGTGATGGTAGACATGTTTGGTGGTGGTGATGGTAGACATATCTGGTGGTGGTGATGGTAGACATGTCTGGTGGTGGTGATGGTAGACATGTCTGGTGGTGGTGATGGTAGACATGTCTGGTGGTGGTGATGGTAGACATGTCTGGTGGTGGTGATGGTAGACATGTCTGGTGGTGGTGATGGTAGACATGTCTGGTGGTGGTGATGGTAGACATGTCTGGTGGTGGTGATGGTAGACATGTTTGGTGGTGGTGATGGTAGACATATCTGGTGGTGGTGATGGTAGACATGTCTGGTGGTGGTGATGGTAGACATGTCTGGTGGTGGTGATGGTAGACATGTCTGGTGGTGGTGATGGTAGACATGTCTGGTGGTGGTGATGGTAGACATGTCTGGTGGTGGTGATGGTAGACATGTCTGGTGGTGGTGATGGTAGACATGTCTGGTGGTGATGGTAGACATGTCTGGTGGTGGTGGTGATGGTAGACATGTCTGGTGGTGGTGATGGTAGACATGTCTGGTGGTGGTGATGGTAGACATGTCTGGTGGTGATGGTAGACATGTCTGGTGGTGGTGGTGATGGTAGACATGTCTGGTGGTGGTGATGGTAGACATGTCTGGTTGAGAACCACAAGAATCAGAGTAAAACTGACCTGTTTTGACTCTCTTAACAGAGCCGACACCATTGCTCAAGCGCCGGCTTATTCCGTCAGACCAGCCGGTGGTAAAATTGGCTATCCATTCGTCTCCGTGAGTCTGGTAGGTAGCGTCGTAGCCGATGTAGCGACCTGCAGGTAGCAGCTTGTAGAAGGATGGTTGTGCTACCACAGAGAACGCTGGTTGGAACCCACACCTGACGAACTGTTGGCAACCCTCACTGTCTGATCCTGTTAACAGGGAGATAAACTGTTGATAACTGTCTGAACCTGTTAACAGGGAGATAAACTGTTGATAACTGTCTGATCCTGTTAACAGGAGATAAAATGTTGATAACTGTCTGATCCTGTTAACAGGGAGATAAACTGTTGATAACTGTCTGATCCTGTTAACAGGGAGATAAACTGTTGATAACTGTCTGAACCTGTTAACAGGGAGATAAACTGTTGATAACTGTCTGATCCTGTTAACAGGGAGATAAACTGTTGATAACTGTCTGAACCTGTTAACAGGGAGATAAACTGTTGATAACCCTGAACCTGTTAATAGGGAAATAAACTGTTGATAACTCTGAACCTGTTAACAGGGAGACAAACTGTTGATAACTCTGAACCTGTTAACAGGGAGACAAACTGTTGATAACTCTGAACCTGTTAACAGGGAGATAAACTGTTGATAACTCTGAACCTGTTAACAGGGAGATAAACTGTTGATAACCCTGAACCTGTTAACAGGGAGATAAACTGTTGATAACTCTGAACCTGTTAACAGGGAGATAAACTGTTGATAACCGTCTGATCCTGTTAACAGGGAGATAAACTGCTGATAACTGTTTGATCCTGTTAACAGGCAGATAAACTGTTGATAACTGTCTGATCCTGTTAACAGGCAGATAAACTGTTGATAACTATCTGATCCTGTTAACAGGCAGATAAACTGTTGATAACTGTCTGATCCTGTTAACAGGGAGATAAACTGTTGATAACTGTCTGATCCTGTTAACAGGGAATCAACAGTTTAACTGTCTGATCCTGTTAACAGGGAGATAAACTGTTGATAACTGGCTGATCCTGTTAACAGGGAGATAAACTGTTGATAACTGTCTGATCCTGTTAACAGGGAGATAAACTGTGGATAACTGTCTGATCCTGTTAACAGGCAGATAAACTGTTGATAACTGTCTGATCCTGTTAACAGGCAGATAAACTGTTGATAACTGTCTGATCCTGTTAACAGGCAGATAAACTGTTGATAACTATCTGATCCTGTTAACAGGCAGATAAACTGTTTATAAACTGTCTGATCCTGTTAACAGGGAGATAAAACTGTTGATAACTGTCTGATCCTGTTAACAGGCAGATAAACTGTTGATAACTGTCTGATCCTGTTAACAGGCAGATAAACTGTTGATAACTGTCTGATCCTGTTAACAGGCAGATAAACTGTTGATAACTGTCTGATCCTGTTAACAGGCAGATAAACTGTTGATAACTGTCTGATCCTGTTAACAGGGAGATAAACTGTTGATAACTGTCTGATCCTGTTAACAGGCAGATAAACTGTTGATAACTGTCTGATCCTGTTAACAGGCAGATAACTGTTGATAACTGTCTGATCCTGTTAACAGGCAGATAAACTGTTGATAACTGTCTGATCCTGTTAACAGGGAGATAAACTGTTGATAACTGTCTGATCCTGTTAACAGGGAGATAAACTGTTGATAACTGTCTGATCCTGTTAACAGGCAGATAAACTGTTGATAACTGTCTGATCCTGTTAACAGGTAGATAAACTGTTGATAACTGTCTGATCCTGTTAACAGGGAGATAAACTGTTGATAACTGTCTGATCCTGTTAACAGGGAGATAAAACTGTTGATAACTGTCTGATCCTGTTAACAGGGAGATAAACTGTTGATAACTGTCTGATCCTGTTAACAGGCAGATAAACTGTTGATAACTGTCTGATCCTGTTAACAGGCAGATAAACTGTTGATAAAATGTCTGATCCTGTTAACAGGGAGATAAACTGTTGATAACTGTCTGATCCTGTTAACAGGCAGATAAACTGTTGATAAACTGTCTGATCCTGTTAAACAGGCAGAAAAAAACTGTTGATAACTGTCTGATCCTGTTAACAGGGAGATAAACTGTTGATAACTGTCTGATCCTGTTAACAGGGAGATAAACTGTTGATAACTGTCTGATCCTGTTAACAGGGAGATAAACTGTTGATAACTGTCTGATCCTGTTAACAGGGAGATAAACTGTTGATAACCGTTTGATCCTGTTAACAGGGAGAGAAATTCATTCCTAAAATATGGACTACAGCAATATGAGAGAGTATATATACTAATTATGGGAAAATCAGGAATGCGCTTGGAATTTCACAATTTTTTTTCAGTGTCCTGCGTATTATATCACCTGTTTACTGTGATCTTATTGTATAGTAACACCTGCGTAAATTACTCACCAGAATAACTCAAAAAAGTCAGGCGCAGGGGGACTTTATAAAAATATTTTTTTTTCGAGGGGGGAGGGCCTTTTATGCCGGGAAATACTGTAATTTACGGGTTTATGTTATGATTGTTGTTGTTGTTGGTGTTGGTGAGGTGAACAACATACCTGAGCAGAGACCAGTGATAGCTCCACCAGGTCTGATCAAGTCCAGGTGTGTGGCCAGCCCCTGGACACAGCCGGTGGTGGCAGCTACGTGAAGCCGAGTTCTGAAATTTACCCTTAACACATCAACAAATAATTTACTAAACTATATTATACATATATATTTATATATATATATATATATATATATTTATATTTATATTATATATATATATATGTTTATAATTTCAATATTAATGTACGTTAAGCAAATTAATAGTGTTTTAGGAATATATAACAGTAGTCTACTTAATAGATCAATTAAAGGTATTTGTGAACTTATTTGTATACTGTTGTATACATACATATGTATCCAGGACACCTTAAGAATTTTATCCATGTTGGTTGCAACGTTGTGCAACATTAACTAACATCAACCAATGGCAACCATGGAACAGCAATAATAAACAAGGTATGGTGATGCGAGGTCCCAGTACCACAACAGTCACAAGCAGAATGTAATTACGTAGTACTGAGATTGTGTTAGTGCACAGATAACCTGAACGAGGTATACCCGGAGTCAACCTCTGAACACCAAGGTATTATGACAAACATTTTCAACACTCCACAAAAACATCCGCAACACTCCAACAACATCCTGCACAACAACCTTGAGTCGATGTGTTCAGTCCATCAATCAAGATTGATGGACTGGAACACTTCGACTCAAGTTGAGGGGACTGATTACCTTTCTCCTCTGTTCTTCAGTTTCTCCTAGTATGGATGTGAAGCCACTGTGTGGCGAAACGTTTCCTCATAAAGTTACCCAAGAGGTGCACATGTGTCTAATTTATATACACAGATTATCATACATAGAGCCAATGTGTAGAGAACCCAGGAAAAAATCTGAGGTCTAATTCCACTTGGAGTCTGCTGAATTATTTTATTTAAACGTTAAAAACAGGCAAGTGTTTAAAACTTGTAAAAGCAGTTACAATAATAGGTATTACTAGGGGAAGGAGTATAGACGGATTTATGGAAGAATATAACCTATATTGTGAGTCTAGGAGTACGATGAGGTTAGCTTTCACTTCCGTGGATCAGAGCCCTTTCATTAACTCAACGCGATCAAGAAGTGAATACAGTTTTAGAATTAACATCCAGATACAGCCATGGAGCACTCGCCACTCCTTGCACTGAATGACCCATACGGGTTTAGCTAGTCATCTAAATATAATAATAATAAACATTGCCTGAGGGTTCAGAAACTTACTTGTTAGGTCAGTTGCCTGTACTTGTAGGGTTCAGTAACTTACTTGTAGGGTTCAGTAACTTACTTGTAGGGTTCAGTAACTTACTTGTAGGGTTCAGTAACTTACTTGTAGGGTTCAGTAACTTAATTGTAGGTTCAGGTAACATATTGTAGGGATTCGTAACTTACTTGTAGGGTTCAGTAACTTACTTGTAGGGTTCAGTAACTTACTTGTAGGGTTCAGTAGCTTACTTGTAGGGTTCAGTAACTTACTTGTAGGGTTCAGTAACTTACTTGTAGGGTTCAGTAATTACTTGTGGGTTTCAGTAATTACTTGTAGGTTCAGTAACTTACTTGTTCGGGTTCAGTACTTACTTGTAAGGTTCAGTAGCTTACTTGTAGGGTTCAGTAGCTTACTTGTAGGGTTCAGTAACTTGTAGGGTTCAGTAACTTACTTGTAGGGTTCAGTAATTACTTGTAGGTTCAGTAGCTTACTTGTAGGGTTCAGTAGCTTACTTGTAAGGTTCAGTAGCTTACTTGTAGGGTTCAGTAGCTTACTTGTTGGGTTCGGTCGGGGGCTTTACGTGTAGGGTTCAGTAGCTTGTAGAAGATGTCAGCTGTTTTGATTCTTCTCTTCTCTGTGCTGGTGACTGGAAGTGTGTGTACATGGAGTTGATGGAGACGTCCAGCTGTTGCAGCTGTTGCACCAGCTGCGGCAGGTCAGCTGGCTGCACACCATAGCGGGACATGCCTGTGTCTATGTTGATGGCCACACTTAACCGAGATCCCATTCATACACCTTATACTATACATTACATTACAGAGTAAAAAATGTAAATTCCGAGATAAATTTGCATTATTTTCTTATTAATATTATTGGAAACTAATTATAGTGTACAATGATTCACCACAATCTGACTGTTAAGTAATGAATGTTGATATAATCATTTCGATGTGAAAATTTGTGAAATAATGACTCCCTTGCAAGATTTTTCGATTTTGCCACCGAAGTGACTAATATATTGTGTACCCGACATCATTTGGGATGGTTGCGGGCCAAAGTGCATATGGAACACAAAAGGCCCAGGAACTAGGCCCCAAAAGGGTTAACAGGAATACATTTGGATTTATATCTCCATATCTATAGTTCACTTATCTGTTACAAGCAAATTTACTAAATTTGCTTAGTATATCTGGTATCTTATTTTCATTAATAAGATATCTTGACATGTCACATAGGTTATTATACTGTGTCTATCTTTATCCTCCCTTAAGTGACGTGTCTGACCTCATAGGTCAAGGTATTGCTTAAAGCTGGTGGGAGAATTGGAGCTGCATGCATAGGTCAGTAGTTCCTTCTTTATGTTATTATGTACGTGGTACAGTTGTACCTCTTGCTTGTAAAACTGTCTATACCACTTGGTTTGTACAGCTGATCAGTGAAGACGTTGTACTGGTGCTACAGCTTCACAGACGGAGGGCCCGGGTTCGATTCCGACGGGTGAGACAAAACCTTTCGAACGTTTCTTTCTTAAACCTGTTGTCTGTCACCTGAGCAGCAAATAGGTACCTGGTGTTAGTTAGATGGTGTGGGGTGGGCATCCTGGGAAAGACATAAGGACACAATGGAAATAAGTTAGACAGTCTCGATGCGCACTGACTTCTTGGGTTATCCTGGGTGGCTAACCTCCGGGGTTAAAAATCCGATCGAAATTTAATCTTAATCAGAGTTCAAAATTAAGGCTTTGATCGCGGGTTCGAAACCCCGCCATGGACATTGCTTGTGTTTGCAATCGTGTCACTGTGATTCCTAAGTCATAAAGGAGATTATTTAAAGCGGAGGCGGGTCCTTCTTTGGACGGGAGTCCATACTTAGTTGTGTCGGGAGGAGAGGTTAGAAGTCTGTCAGGAACTACTAACTATATTAGTTCAAACTAATCAGTTCTGACATTTCACTGAGTTGAAAAAAGTGGAAAAGAATTTAACGGGCAGTTTTTCAAATAGGAAGGCCAAATATGTGGGTGAAATGTTTGGTTTTGACAAGTTCTTGCTTGTATTGGGCAGTAGGCCTTCTGCAGTGTTCATTCTTAGTACCCAAGGATGCCACCTACGGAATCCACTAATTCACAGGTACCTATTTACTGCTAGGTGTAAACAGGGGCAGTAGGTGTGAGGGTTACCACCCATGTAACCATTTATTGCCACGCTTTTGAGGTACCCAGGTGAAGGTACAGGTGAAGTGCGCAGGGTGGAAGGTACCAGATGAAGGGTGCTAGGTGCAGGTACCCGGTGAAGGTACAGGTGAAGGTACCAGGTGAAGGTACCAGATGAAAGTGCCAGGTGAAGGTACAGATTGAAGGTCCCAGGTGAGGGTACCAGATGAAGGTCCCAGGTGAAGGTACAGGTGAAGTGCAGGTGAAGGAGTACCAAGGTGTAGTACAGGTGAAGGTACCGGTGAAGGTACCAGTGAAAGTGCCAGTTGAAGGTACTGATGAAGGTCACCAGGTGAGGGGACGAGAGGTGTAGGTGAAGGTACCAGGTGAAGGTTCAGGTGAAGGTATACCAGGTGAGGTACGGTGAAGGACAGGTGAGGTACAGATGAAGGTACTGGTGAGGTTACCAGATGAAGGTACCAGGTGAGGGTACCGATGAGGTGCCTGGTGATGGTACAGGTGAAGGTGTGACTAGGTGAAGGGGTCCCCACCCCGTGCTAGAATATCCCCCGCTTTAGGTGGAAGGTGCCAGGTGAAGGTTGCAGATAAAGTGCTAGGTGAAGGTTCCTTCAGGTGAAGGTGCAGGTGAGGTAAGGTATGAAAGGTACCAGGTGAAGGTACCAGATGAAAGTGCCAGGTGAAGGTACCAGATGAAGGTGCTAGGTGAAAGTACCAGTAAAGGTGCCAGGTGAAGGTACCATGTGAAGGTACAGATGAGGTACAGATGAAGGTGCCAGAAGGTCATGATTAAGAAGCAGGTGAAGGTCCAGGTGGAAGTACCAGGTGAGGTACCAGATGGAAGGTACCAGATGAGGGTGCCGAGGTACCAGAGTTAAGGTGCCAGGTGAATGTACCGGTGAAGATACCAGGTGAAGGTGCAGATGAAAGGGTACAGGTGAAGGTTAAGGTACCGATGAAGGTACCAGGTGAGGGTACCAGATGAAGGTACAGGTGAGGGTACCAGATGAATGTACCAGGTGAGGGTACCGAGGAATGTGCCTGGTGATGGTACCAGGTGAGGTGCCCAGGTGAAGGATCAGGTGAGGGTCAGGGGAAGGTACCGGTGATGGTACCAGGTGAAGCGCCGCTCACTCATTATTCGTATGCGCAAGACAAATCATAGCATTGTACCAGTCACTGCATGTTCAGTCATGGCATTTTTCCAGTCACGGTTATTTTTTCCAGTCATGCATTGTTTGGGTAATAGTATGTTCAGTCATGGGCATTGTTCCAGTCACGCCATTTTTCCAGTCATGGCATTGTTCCAGTCACAGCATTGTTCCAGTCAGGTATTCTTCCTTTGACATCTACAATGATTCAGAGAGTCTGGGGGCTGGGCAGAGGTGCCGGTGAGGTGGTATCCGACATAGAAGGTGAGACAATGCTCGGGGTTAAACCTGGAGAGCATCACGCTGTATAACCACAAGAAAGTCAGTGTGTCATTGAGGACTGTCTTATTTCCTCAATCTTGTCCCCCAGGTGCCAACCCACACCAGGTGACTAACACCCAGGTATCTACGTGTTTGGTGAACAGACAACAGCTGTAACGAAATGCGTCGAATGCCTTTCACCCCTGACGGGAATCGAACCGAAGCCTCAGCGTGTGAAGCGGAGGCTTTTTTCCCAGGCCACGGTGGTCCCTAGACGGTGTATAAATTAGGATGGAGGGAAGGAGGGGTAGAGGGACGTCCTGAGATAGCTTAGAGCAAGATGAGGGTTTAGTGTGTGGATTGGACATCCACAGGGCTTGTGTGACCACGTTAGTAAAGTAGTGGAGGCGAGTGACTTTATGACTGCGAGTTGGATGTTGCTGCGCTAGGTTTTATTCATGAATGGAATCAGGTAAAACGGTTAGCGGACTTGAGGTTTGGAGGTGGGAAGTGCCAGTGCTGCACACAAGGTGTGGGGATATTTGCTGCTTGGAGAGTCATCTGAAGTGTGATGTAACATACATTGGCAAAGAGAGTAATTATCTGAGCGATGGTGAAAGGTGTGCCACTCGGGTCTCCTTACCTCGGTGGGAGGACGACGGATCTTAGAATTACAGTGGAACTTCGGTTTCTGAACTTAAACGGTTCCCAGATGTGTTGAACTGCGAAAAGTTCAATGACCGAAACAGTATTTACAGGCTGGACCATCCTCACACACTGGTGGATGTTGAACTGACTTACAAAAGTCTCTGAAAGTCAGGTTAATGTCAGAGGTCACCTCAAAACAATTCTGAAACACGACTTTCCTCTAAAGTTCTTTATAACGAGTTCAGATCCAGAGAAACGTTCAAAAAACCAGGTCAAATTTTCCCTTGAACAAGACCGTTCACACTCCGGTTCGTTCGAACACCGAGGTTCCACTGTATAACTCACGAATCGAAATGACACGATTGCAAAAACCATTACCCCCGGCCGGGATTGAACCCGCGGTCATAGAGTCTCAAAACCCCAGCCCGTCGCGTTAGCCACTAGACCAGCTAGCCACAATAAGATTCATCCAACTAGGTATATTTCTACACCATGGGAAAGGTTAGCACAGGCACCACTGTGACCACAAATGAAAGTTTTTACAGACGAATCTCCAGCTAGCGTGGCCGTGACGAACTCTAGTGGCTAACGCGACGGTCTGGAGTTTTGAGACTCTCTAACCGCGGGTTCAATCCCGGCCGGGGTATGGTTTTTGGTTCCACTTATCACTCATACCCAGTTTAACTTCATTTTTTCGGGACACGACTTCAAAACTCTCGGTCATTGTAAATTTAAAGATAAAACATACTTGTAAATGATTTCCTGTACAGTGATTATATCACTTAACCTTCACCATTGTTTGTGGTGAGTCACCATAAGTCCAGCATCTTACAATAATAACAATAATAATAATGATAATAACAATAATAATACAATATTAATAATGATAATAACATAATAATGCAAGACAATAATAACAATAGTATAAACCTTGGTAATAAATACGGACAAGTTGCTTTAGAAAAACCAACTTGTCCGTATTAGAATATATTCGGTCCTGGGACCGAAACATCTTTAATATGTCCTAGTGTTTGCTTGTGTGTTTTTCTAGACCATTAATAATAATAATAATAAGACAGGTAGAGCCTCACTGACCGGGTAGAGCAGTTTATGTTTGGGTTGAGAGACGAGAGCTGTAGCCCAACTGATGGAAGGTGTGAGAGTGTGTGAGGTCACAGCCTCTACCTCACACGCCAGCAAGTTACCTGTAAGCAGGAATATACTAGTAGGCCTAGTGGCTAACGAAAAGCACAGCCTCCATATGAAGGCCAACATATGTAGGCCTACAGGCCAATGCTAAGTTGGTCCTACTCACACATAGGCCTTCTATTGTCGTAGGCACCCAAACTCCTCCCACTGGTGCAGGACTACTAGCAAGTGTTGTAGGTCAAGACGAGTTGATGAACAATCCACTTGAGATATTTGTTTATGATGAGACACTGTTGATGAGACAAGTAGTGTTGAGGTGATCAGTCCCTCAGCCTGAGGGACTGATCACCTCAACACTACGTCTTCAAGGCTGATACACTGATTACATCATCTTCATTTATAATATCTATTTTCTACCAGTACATGTACAAGGTATACAGACCATAGCTGACATCAGTGACATACTACTATATAGAAAGTCCCTTGTTATGCTGAACATTTCCCGCAAATTAGGTCAATTTTGTCCCAGGATGCGACCCACACCAGTCCACTAACACACAGGTACCCATTTTACTGGTGGGTGAATATAGATAACCGGTGTAAGGAAACACGCCCAATGTTTCTACCCTTCCAGGGAATCGAACCCGGACACTCACTGTGTGAAGCGAGAGCTTTAGTCACAAGGCCTTCTTCAGTCCTAAGATACATCAGTTACCAAATATTGGAGGAGTCCAGAAGTAAACTGGTATTTATTTAACGCGATTTAACAGCAATTTAACACAATTTTAGGCATAAAATGGTCACATCTGCTCCTACACGAGTTAAATAACTTTGCTCACAGGAGTCCTCTACAGGCAAATTGTTCCAAGAATCTAGTCTTCGGTATCCTACACAACCACTGAAAATCTGAAACGTTCGGATGAGCTGTTCTCAAGCTACAAGCGATAGATAACAAAAAATTCTAAGACAAAATAAATTCAATTCAATTCAGGTTTATTCTCTATAAGGGTTACAATGTGGGGTTTACAGGTTTTGGGTATTGTGTGGTTTACATGTTATAAAATACTAATTACAGAGGGGGCCACTAGGACACCTAGCATGGCTAGGCATTTCCAGCAGACTTAAATTAATTCTAACATTAAATCCTTATCAGATTATGGTATTAAGGCTAAGTGACTACATCATAATTTGTGAGTTTAGCATGTGAATGTTTTGTTTTGGCACAATACAAAGTGTCTATATTGGAGTATCATAGGCAAACTTATGACTAGTTAGGATTTATTATTTTAAGATTAAGATTAGTATTTCTGGGTTTATAGTCAGTGGGTGAGTGAGTGTAATTGTGAACCACCAGGTGGTTATCATGTAGTTAGTTGTCGGGGTGTATCAGGGAGATAAGATGTTTTCTAACTGTAGTTTTGAAAGTGTGAATGTGTCTGCAGTTCTTGA